ATATATATATATACATATATGCATGTAATAACAATTGATTTTTAAAAAGGCCATGAATCTGAAGTAGAGAAGGGAGAGACATATATATAGAAGAAAGGTTTGGAGGGAACAAAGGAAAAGTAGAAATATAATTAAAATATAATCTAAGAAAATTTTTAAATATTACAAGTGCTAGCAATGGAGAAAATGGGAATTTTTTATGTAGATCACTGGCAACAATAAAAACAAAGTATCTTTAAAAAATTGAAGAAATTAAATTTTGGGGAGTAATTTTTATGTGCATGAATGTTTTGTCTGAGTGAGTGTGTGTGTGTGTGTGTGTGTGTGTGTGTGTGTGTGTGTGTATACAGTACATGTATGTCTGGTGCCCAGACAGTGTGAGCTACCACCATGTGTGCATGTTGCACATCGAATTCAGGTCTTCTGCAGAGCAGCAAGTACTCTTAACCGCTAAGTCATGTCTTCAGCCCATCAAAGAAACTAAATTTTAAGCTTCATTTTTTTGGGGGCTGGGGATTAGCTCAGTTAGCAGAGTGCTTGCCTAGCATACACAAAGTCCTGGTTGCTATATCCCTCCCCCTGCCCCCAAAATAAAGAAAACTAGGAGTAGTGATGCATACCTATGAAGCTAGCATTCAAAACAAGAGTAACTTACAAGTGTCAATTTTAAAGTTATTTTTGGTTACACAGTGAGTTCAAAACCAACCTGGGTTGTATGACACCTTACTCCCCACAATTTCGTTTTCATTTTCCCTGATTTGCAAAATTTGAAGCATTAAAAAGACTTGTGTGGTTGGATGGTGGTGGCTCACGCCTTTAATCCCAGCACTTGGGAGGCAGGAGCAGGCAGATCTCTGAGTTCAAAGCCAGCTTGGTCTATAGAGATCCAGGGTAGACAAGGCTAAACAGAGAGGCCCTGTTCTGAAAAGTCAAAATAAAAAAGAGAAAAAGAAAGCCATGCCTGTGTGTAACAGCCTTACTGAAGAATGCCTTTCAAGTCACCACTAGTTTCCACTCAAATTTGCTGAAAATTACTGCTGCCAGTTATTTTGTTTGTAGCTCCCTCATAATCACCAACCAATCACCTAAGCATGTCACCAGAGCAAACAAAACAGGTCACAGACTATAGACAA